TTATCCAAACTCTCTGTGTGATTCTGTATGAATTTTGAAGTACTTAAAGTTCTGTTTATAAAGATGTCCAGAGTTATGTTTTTCTTTAGTGCTGATATTTCTTTGCTTCCTTGCTTTTCTTTTATCTGCTCTCGAGTCGTAGTAAGCCAATACAAAGTTCGCTATCTATTTCAGTCTTGAAACTAAGCTTCAGATGAAGATGTATTCTTTCAATGTTATTTGACTCCCTGAGGCTGAAGCTATGACAATGTATACATGTTCTTTGTTGCAAATTACTGATTTAGTGGATAGACCACTAGCACTTAAGGAGTGGTCCTTGTGGTTTTGCTTGTAAATATGGAAATTGTAAGAAGAATGCTTGCATAAATTAATTGCGACATTGTTTGATTACATCATAGAAATGCTGCTTTATACAGATAATCTTGCTGACTTCTGAGCTCGTTTTGGCTTTCTTGAAGTTGTATGTCGTTCCATCCATATGCCAGTATTTTCCAAATAGCTTGCAGAGTGAAGTCAATCAAACAAGTTCATATTCTTTCGAATTCTCTAGTCACTAATCTATTAACCAGCCACTTGAATACTAGAATGTGCAATTTGCTTGCTTATTTTGTGTAGCCAAAAAGTACCTGTATCTAAAAATTAGATGCATAATGTTGGACTAAGTACGAGCCACATTCTTTTCATATCTGTGTTGTGAACATATGATGGGGCATATGTGATTGTTTGTGGTATAAGATATTTTCTTTATGGATCTTCAAGGTTATTTTCAACATGTATACTGTTGACGTCCTCTTGCATGAGATCCATTCTAGATGGTCTTAATGTATATCAAGTGCCAAAGTAATGTTTCCAAGACAAAAAGAAGTACAAAACCTAATTGTATGGCGAACAAGTACTTTTGCAAGCCTTCTTAATGAGTTGCTCTCTGGAATGTTGTAGGATCAAATTAATATTGCTGAAGTCAAGTATCCATTGGAACATTTCAAGGTAAGCTCCAAGATTTGGATATATTCTTACTTTAAAGCCCCAGGAAAGTTCTCTTAGCTTGTATGCTGATTCATTGCAATGTTTCTGGAATATCTTTACTTGCTTGTGCGATAAGTTCAGTGGATAAATTCTAAATGTGACCTAACTCCTTAAAAACTTTGATATAGTTGAAATATTAGAATCTTTCAATTGTGGGCTTCTAACTTTCTATCAGCAGACTTTCAATGAATTCTTCATAAGAGAGTTAAAGCCTGGTGCGAGACCCATTGCCTCCGTGGAGCATGACAACATTGCTGTCTGTGCTGCTGATAGCCGTTTAATGGCTTTCAACAACGTTGAAGACAGTACTCGGTTTTGGGTTAAGGTATTTTCTACTCTCTGGAGCCGATTTACCTTTAATGTCTACAGTAAGACTTCTGTCTGCCCCCTCCCAGAGAAAAAAAACACCCTACTGTTTGTGGGCGCTTTTGAATTTCAGAGATAACTTTCCAAAAGTGGGATACTTGCTGATAGGATTCGCATGGAGGCAACTAGGGACATATATATTATTGATTCAAGTCATCCTTTGCTTAAAGGATCTGATACATTTATGGGTACTACTGCCAGATCCTATAGTCAGCACTGATTTCACTAGGAAATGAACTAGTGCTGTGGCTGCACTTTTGTTGCTTGAGAAAGGTTTGAGATACTTATGGCATTGCAGTGCTTACCCATAGCTGAAATCCTCTGGGTAATGTTTTGGAGAAACGATCCACCTTCCAAACAAGTTGAAGAGTTTTTCTTATTTGTAGTTTTCAATTCTGGACACACACACACTCACACACACATTGTAGGGAGAGACCGAGAGAGAATGATTTTCAGTAGCTTAACTCTAATTAACAATTGTGAAAATGTTGGGCAAATTGTCGGTGCCTTTGTCACTGTTGCTGATATTTTCTTCTTCATGCTGTTCTTAGGGTAAAAAGTTTTCCATTCAAGGCCTTCTGGGAAATGAGATAAGTTCAAGCTCTTTTGAAGGTGGGGCATTGGTGATATTCCGTTTGGCGCCACAGGTAACTAATATTGTCTGTTCTATGCTTTGATGCAGGGTTTCTCTCTCTCTATAGTGAACATAACATAAAATTCCAATTTTTGCAGGACTACCATCGCTTCCATCTTCCTGTCACTGGAATCATTGAACAATTTGTGAATATACCTGGATGCTTATTCACTGTGAGTTGAGTAACGTTGGTAGTACAAAACTTCGTTCTATGTGCTCTGTCAATCCTCTGAATGCATTGGCATGTCAATCTAGGTCAATCCTATCGCTGTCAATAGCAAGTACTGCAATGTTTTCACAGAGAACAAGCGTGTTGTATCTATTATCTCAACAGAACATTTTGGAAAGGTTTGTACGCTTCCAAATTATGGATGTTCTTTTCTTTTTAAATGCTGTATGCAGTCACCGAAAATGACCTAGTGAATTTCCTTGAAGTTTCTCATACATGGCCTGGACCTGGGAGTACAAATTTGTACACTCATCAGTACTCGCTCTTTTTTGCTGCTCTACATCGGCCCATTTTACATGTAGTACTTAGCGTATGTATATATGAATTTTGGTGGTGCTTTCCCCCTTGCTTATGGGAAGAAGATTGACAATTGTGGTAAAATTGTATATGCAAAATTACTTTATGTTCTAGCTCATACAATTTACATGAAAGCAGATATTAAGATTTTTGTTTACATGAACTATCAACCTATTTCATTCCATCATCACCGTGGACACCTATGCATTATGTTATTTTGCGTCTTTCATCTGTAATACAGAAGAAATGTAGCATTGTTTTATGATTTGTTAGACACATGGAAGTCTTTGCTCATTGTTTATTAAAGTAAACTTTATTGACATAATTTAATTTGAATTTAATTTTCTATTCTTTTTTAAGTTGCTTAAGTAATTATGTACCCCTCACCTGGTTTAGATCCTAGGTCTGCTACTGAACAGAATTCTTTGGGAATCTGATAGACAAATAGAAGATGGAGCAGAGATGATCCTTTAATCTGTCACGACAGTCACTAAAAAGTTTTGATTATTAGAAGTATGAATAAGAGAATAGCTAACATCCTTGCATACATGGGGTTACTATGTTTTTACGTCGATGTCGCTGACTTTGACTGCTAAGTGGGTTCTGCATGTTCTGGATTGATGATTTTTTGCCCTAGACACCAGTTTTGATCTTCTTGTGGGAACAATCAACTCCCAATGATCTTTTCGCTCCACTTTAACCTTTGAGTTTATTGTAGTCCAGATATTAATCTAGTACATGCTTTTCCCCCTCCTTTTATGTACATTTTCCTTTATTTTAAAAATCTGGGTATTCCTTTTTTAGCTTCCATATCTTTTAATAATATCTTTGGCTGCAGGTGGCATTCATTGCTATTGGAGCAACCATGGTAGGCACAATCACTTTTCTGAAGCAGGAGGGGGAGCGTGTTAAGAAGGGAGATGAGGTTGACAGTTATTAAGTTGATAATATTACTGTCTCTATTTTCATAAGGCATGAATTTTGATCTGCTTTTAAATTGGAAAAAATGCAGTTTGGATATTTCTCATTCGGAGGAAGCACTGTCATATGTGTCTTTGAGAAGGTCAGTACTAGATGTACTATTCATTCTGCTAATTCAGCTTTGAAAGTGTATTTGTTGGAAAAAATTACATTGTTTGAGGGAATAATCAGGATTTCTGTAACTGCTTTTTGATTGGATACTCATGTATTGGCTCTGCAATATTATGTAGTTCTTTGCTAAAATGCTGTCTTTAGATGAACTTAGTTGCAAATTTAGCAGCCGATTTCACGTTGCCAATTAATTTGACAGGATGTGATTGATATAGACAAGGATCTCCTAGAGAATAGTAGTAGATCACTTGAAACCCTAGTTTCTGTGGGGATGAAGCTGGGTGTCTCGACCAGAAAACAAGCAGAAACTGGGATACCAAACCTTGAGAAGATGGTCTTAGAAGCTTGAGGAAAGCTCATATCAGGTGAAGTGATTTTTGGAGTTCATTGCCTGTTGATTGTTTGTAAAGTAGCTCTAACGAACTCATTCATTGACTGCGGATACTTCACCGTGTACATTGGCAGAATTTATAAAGATTAATTTGAGCATGAAGTTGGTAAGGATGTACAATTTATTTTTTTTCCCAGAATAAAACTGAGGGTTTACAAAACCATTTAGACCACTGATGACATGACAAGCATTTCTAATTAGCACCATGCTGCTTTACAAGTACAAGCTTGGCATGGTTAACTTCGTGGTAAAAAACTATGTGCTTTTGGTTATTCATGGTGGATGAATTTGTGGTAAAAAACTATGTGCTTTTGGTTATTCATGGTGGATGAATTTGAAAATATTGCAGGTATAAGCCCTTAATCTTTGCGATTTACAAGTAAGTACTCTTTGTTTTTACTAGATCGAGTTAGAGGTTGAACTATTATATTGAATTGAGTCCTCATTCAAACACATGTTCAATATCCCTGATTCAAGGTGTGCTCTATCATTAGACGACACTCCGATACAACAGATTGTGGTCTCATGTGCGGTTGATAATATGCGGTTTTGTATTGTTAAACACATGTTAAATATCCTTGTTGAGTATGTGCAGTTTTTCTACTTGTGTGAACATTGAAACGTTCTAGTTCTTGTCTAACATGTAAAAAAATTAATGCATTCCAGAATGATTGGAGTAATGCTAATTTTGGAAAACAGTTTTCTCAGGTTGAACGGCTCGATCTTGCATTTTCAGTATCACATCGCGTGGAACTAATCGGTAAATTAACAAAAATTATCCCAAATTTAAAGTTTGGTGCAAAATTTTGAAATAGGCATCACAAGGATTCATAAAGTATGTATCCGGAATGTCACTCTACACAATAACATCACTATAGTACAGTGATATGAATTCAGAGAATGAATCCATTAGGAGAGAGAGAGAGAGAGAGAGAGAGAGAGAGAGAGAGAGAGAGAGAGAGAGAGAGAGAGAAGGCATAAATCCAGAACCTTGGTGTCTTCCAAGGATTAGTCTATGCAGTTTGCTCTGCTATTCACTTGCTCAAATGTCTATATTTGAGAACAATATAACTCACCTTCAATAACTTCTAGTGTAACCTCCCATGTTGTATGAATTAGCCTGTAAGTTTGCCATCCCAAGCTGCCCTCGCATTCCGTCTCTTGAGTACTGCCGCCACAAGAGCTGCTCATCAACCAAAAGCCTCTGCTTCTTCTCCAGATCTGACATTTGCACGTATGGCGGTGGAGCAATGGTGAGTGATGCTGCAAATGGATCGATGAAATTATTGGTCACCCTACCAACTGGAGCTGGCGGTGCAGGCAAAGCCAGCATCGCCGACTGGTTGGCTGACCCGACTGTGGCACTACTCGCACTTCCATTGCATGTATATGCTGCGCTAGGCCTAGCGGTGGCTGTTGCTCCATGCTGATACATTCCGTTGAAAAACCACATATCCAAACCGCCAGCTAGTGTCGTCTTTTGATTTGACAAACTGCTTGCCGATTGCACAAGCGAGGACTCCCAATCTGCCGTATCATTACCAAACGCCTCCCATGTGGGTGCCGGGTCAGGACCAACCGATGGTGTGCCGCCATCAAATAAGGCCCATGCTAGTTTATCTCCGTGTTCTCTGTGGGCCACCGGATCATCTGCTAGATTTAGCAGGTCAGCTTGTTGCTGTATGTTATCTTTCTTCGGTTCTTCCTTCTCTTCAACAGTTGACTCGCGAAATCCCTCGTGTGGAGGCAGTGCCTTGATTGAATTCATGTCTGGTCCATTTGCTTCTGTTTCGTCCGTTTCTTGCACGATAAGATTCTTTGGCTCTGCACTGAGCGCTCTCTCGCTTTTTGCTGCTGCTGCTTTGTCCCGAATGACATCGTCCATAAGATCAAGTTTCTTCTGTGTAATTCTCTCAGTTTCCGGGTACTCAGAAGTGCGAGCGATGCCAACGTTCTTGCACCAAGCGTAAAATACTTCGAGTTCGTCAAACTGCTTCCCTACTCTCGATAAGAGCTCATACACCTTCACGCATTCCGCAATCTCCATCTCTGTAAATCTATCTACTAGGATTGCCATGATCTCCATGATTTCATTATAGATTCGGAAGCTTTCTTTTATAACTGGGTACAGGGCCACAAAAATCACTCTGTCGTTCTTCGCTGGACCTGCACCAATTTAGAAAAGATTGCACAGGAACGGCATCAGCATCGACTTAAGCGGTAGTTCATAATAGCAAATTCAGAGCTACGTCGGATTCCGAGTAAATGTACTGCAATTTCTATCAAGGAAGTCACATCCTCTTGCTAGTTCAAGTTGTCTACTTCGATACCCCAAAATCATTAGCTCTTCCAGAAAATTTCCGAAGAATGTAAATGTGTGTAATTTCTCTTGCACAATCTAGTTATGACTACGATATATGTTATCATTAGAAACCGAATTAATATCAGGTCCGTGTGTAGATAGACGAAAAGAATCTACAAGCTTATAGCTATAAAATTCATGGCAATTGAACCTTCCTACTGACCAGTTCTCCATAAGTATTCTAAGGGTTGCATTTGATGTTGGACCAACCTGTTGGCCTGCACGCCAAGAACCGTTCGAGTAGCTGCTGCAAATGCTGCATCTTCGAAAATATATGGACATTTTTCATCTCTCGAACCGGTGTGATTCTAATGCCAGCTTGCCCGTTTTCTTCCTCTTCTTCATCGAGGCCATACTTACCGCGTTTCCCTCGCCGTCCCAGCATTCTGTATTCTAGCTGTTCATCGAGGTACAGAGCATATGTCCTGACAAATGCCGAGTAGTCCCACGAATTTGATCGCGACGCGTCACGGAAGTCGGACATGTTGAGGAAGCGGGTCCCGCCCCTCGTGGCGAAGAAGATCTCCTCCTCGTATGCGGGATCGCCCTTGGCCAGGAGCCTCTGGATCAGAATAAGTGTCTTCAGCGCGACGGTCCAGTTCCGGGTCTTGTTGAGGCGCCTTGAGAGGGTGTCAATGCATGCAGTTATGTATGAGCGGGAATAGCCGGTCAAGCTAATGATCTCTTGGATGTGCTTCTCCTCCGCCGGGAATTCATCATGCCGAGTCGCCTTCACTATCGCGACTTCTAGGTCCGAGAGCGAGCTGCTGCTGGTACTAACCTTCGCTAGGCCAATGCTGGTGTGGTCTTTGACCGCTCCAATGGCCCTCCTCAGCTTGCTTGCACCCATGGATTGTGTAAAAGGATGGATAAAGAGATGCTCTCACCAATTGGTATTGTCTGGGAACCTGATAAAGAAAGCATTAAAAAGCTGTTAAATACAAAAGAGTTTTCATGTCATGCGCAGGCAATGCATCTTGGAAGGTGAAAGATCAAATGCATCTTAGTTTCGATGCACGTTCGGTCTTCTAAACGAATTCGACAATTTCGAGGTCCGAAGCACCCACCCCGTTTGAGAATTTTCACAGGATCCGTCGAACCTCGTCGGGTAACTTTCCACGGCGCGATTCACCCGTTTGTCGGATCTAAACGTGGAGACAAAGTCCTTACGTACTCACTTGAAAATGGATCGTTTTCGGCGAGACGAACCCGAAGGTCTGAATTGTAAAGCTTCTGGAAATGTCTGAGAGGAAGGCACGAGAAGAGAGGAAACGAGAGATGGGTCGTTGCCTCTCCTCTCTCCCTCTGCTTTTCTCTTCCTCTCTCTCCCTCTCTCCCTCTCCCTGTCCACCCTCTTTCTCTCTCCAACTCTTGTCTCCGCCTCTGTTATTCTCTTCCCATGGCTTGGTTCAAACGGCTTCTCTGCGTTCTGCTCTCCATCGACCATGAATTGGCCGCCAAATGGGGCTCGAAACTCGGACGTTGTGATGGTGGGAGGTGCTTGTGCCAACAACGAGCGAATGTAATCTGTCAGGTAGCCACAAATAGAATGTGGAAGTTCCTGGAGTCTTGTCTTTGTGCCGTTTAGCTTTCGGATGTTAGTCGATCATTGGGATAATTTCTTTTAAAATGTTTTTTCTGAATTTTATTATATTTTCTTATCTTATTATTTTTCCACTGTCGCCGCCGAGCGCTTGTAGGCCCGAGGTCCCGGCGACCCTCATTAGCCATAGTGGAAAAAAAAAAAGGAAACATAATTTTTTTTTGAAAAAATTACAAAAAGTGCCCACATCAGTGTAAGCCGTGTCACATAGAGTGGCCGGTGTCCATGTCAGCGATTTTTGGCTAAAATTGACCGGCAAAACTATATTGATAAATCGTCAAAAGGTTTTGAACTAAATTGGTTAAATTAAAAAGTTTAGGATGAGATTGGCATTTGTACAATATTAGGACTTTCCGTCAATTATTTATATATTGAGGGTTATTTATTTGCTCTCATAATAGCGGCTAGGGGTGTCCAAAACGGACCGCCTCAATCGGAAACCGCTCGAACCGGACCAGATTGGCCGGTTTGATTAGGTTCCCGGGATCGGTCCGATTCTTGGTTCCTAAAAGTGGAACTAGTGTCCGGGCGGTCCGGTTCCCGGTTCCAAGGGGAACTCGACCGAACCGGACCAACCGGACCGGATCAAATACTTATGCCTTTTTTTTTTGTGATTATGTGTAGTTGGTATGGGGAATGCAATTCCAATTTTATAACATATGTGTAGTTTGCATGAAGAACACAATTTGCTGTCACATTGGCTCGAGTTGCACACTTTATTTTGTGATTATGTATAGTCAGTATGGAGAACACAGTTCTAATTTCCAAATATATTGTATCAAATAATGAGAAAACAAAAAGTTCAAGTTTCCGATCCTAGGACCAAACGGTCCGGTCCTCGGTTCCCAAATTTGGGAACCGTTCTCCCACTCCGGTTCTCGGTTCTACCTTAAAACCGGACTGGATCAGTAACCGATCACCCTTAATAGTGGTACTAAGCAATCATCCACCTAATTAATCGGAAAAATGTTTAAGCAATCTATGATTGATTGTATGGATAGTCGCGACGCTAACGTACTTCAAGAGCACTTAAAAATACGTACAAAAGTTGCAATTTCGGAACGCAGTGAAACTTTGTTAACATCATGTCTTTACAAATGGGACAATTAAGTCCAAATGATCTAGGACAACCTATTATTCATGGAGACCAATAAATGCACATGTAAGGTAAGATGTGATCGAGTAATTAGTTAAAAGATTTGCAAACCCGTCTGATCTCTCCATTCGAACCCGTCTTGACACCAATTTGACCCATCTTTACCATCGATTCGACGAAATCCGCTTCGAAGGAGGGCCTGAAGAGCGGGTTGAAGAGACCCACGTAAGATTCCATCACGCTCCGCGTCGCCGGGTCATCGTTTAGCTTCGCGTCCGACTCCAACACGGCCCATCCGCTTCTGATATTCCGGAGGATTCGGTCGTCGAATGTCCGCTCGCTGCCGTGATCGATTGCTATCCGCATGTTCACGTCGCCGTTCTGTGGGCACATCGACTTCAGCTCCGGCAAGAAGTCAGGGTCGATCGAACGATCCGATCCGCCGCCGGGCACGGAGTTGTACAGACGTTCCGTCATGAAGAAGCACGCGGTGGTTCCGATGGTATGCGCGGCTGAAACATGAAAATCGAAAGTGATGTAACGCATGCTAGAGATTTGCAGATTTGTTTTCTTCACTAATCAGTTCCAATATTTATTGGAAGGACTGTAGTCCTGCATGTATTTTAGAACTGTGAAATTGGGCTATGACTAAGCAAACGGGCATCTTTATTACTTCAAGTCTAATTGCAAAGAATCATCATTGAAGGGTGTATCGTGTGTGAAATTGAGGTCAGAGCATTATAAATCTGTTTGTTACCCATCAAAAACTAGCTATCGAGATTCTAAGTAACTTGCTCCAACTCGAACATGATGACTGATGACAACCTTTTTCATGTTATTTAGGCTTCCAAACCAACATCAGCTCACCATATCAGCATGACTACTGTGTGTGTGTGAGAGAGAGAGAGAGAGAGAGAGAGAGAGACAGAGAGACAGAGAGAGAGGGTGTACCGCTGAGGAGGACGAGGTCCCCGTCGGAGAGACCTTTCTCGGAGAACTTGGACTTGAGCTGTTGGATGGAGTCACCGACGTCCGGCATGTCTGCGGCCAGCGACACATTCGACACCCTCCCGTCCCGCCGCCCTGTCGGCACCTCATAAGCCGGCCCATTTGCCTTCGCATATCAATATCAGCGTGTTATCAGCTTTTCACGTCACTTCATGAACTCATTTTAACAATTCGTGTTCCATGTTCTTTCATGATCCCTAATCACGAGTGCATGGACGATCCGTCCTAGACACGCTAGGAAATTGACTCGCAATACATATATTTGTGATTATCCTCAACAGATAATTCGTATATACATGCAAATCAAAGAAAACACACAAATAAAAGACAGACGAACCGTCGCGACAGCATCTCTAGCCGCTAAGGCGACGATGTCGGCGCACGAGACGATGCCGGGGCACGCGGCCTCGAGTTGCTGCTTGGCTTCCTCAATCACATCGAATCCGCCCACCCCTTGGTGCCCGAACGCATTCCTCTCCGCACTTTGCCCGTTCTCTATAAGAATCGAACCATCACATCCCTATCACACACACACACATCATCAAAATCACAAGATCAATCTTAAACATTCTCATTTCTAAACAAAAGATCTTATCAACGAGCATCTATCTATCTATCAAGAATCTATCAACTTTCGAAGCATTACTAGTCGTAATGTGAGAAAAGCAGTATGTTGCGGGAGAGCGAGAGAGCGACACCTCGACGAAGCAGTCATGGAAGTGAAGGCGAAGCAAGACCGCGGCCGTGTTGGGGTTGGAGATGACCGCATTTCTAACGACGGATCTCACGACGGGCTCGGCGGAAGGGCAGGTTTCGCGGTAGAAGCCGACTCCGAGCTGGGCATTACCCTCTCCCATCAAGCAACAATAAGCAACAAGTGTAAGAACCCACGAGAGCTCTCGATCCATGGAAGTTCGAGGTTGGAAAAAGATCGCAAGGGAGGAGGAAGAGGGAGAAGGCGAAGATGAAAAGGACTGAAGGAGAGAGATGGAGGAGAGACTTAATGAGAGGGAGGGGGACGGAGACGTGAGGCAGCTCAAGAGCTGACAACGTTGGTGTTAGCAATGTGTCAACCAAACTGCATGGCGCTTTGTCACCTTCCCCCGTCTCTGCTTTTGACTTTCCAGGAAAAGGACACGGTTTTCCTGCGCTTGTCCCAAGGACATCATAAATTAGATACAATATGGGATAATGAAACAAACAGTATATGAATTTTGATCCAATGCATAATTTAGTCCTTGAATTTTTAATTTGTTCAATGTAATCCCTGAACTTTAGGCTAATATTCAGTGTGGTCCTTGAACTTTTAATTTGTTCAATGTCATTCTCGAACTTTTGGTACATGTTCAATTCAGTCCCTGAACTATATGAAAATGTTCAATATAATCCCTGAACTTGAATTAATGGAAAGGACTATATTGAACATTTTCATATAATTCAGGAACTGAATTAAATATGTACCAAAAGTTCGGGAATAATATTGAACAAATTTCAAGAGACTCAATAAACTATTCTTTTTCCTACATCGTCCCTGCACTAAATTGTTTTCACAACATGCATTCCGTGTCGACAAGCAATTCAAAATGTCTCAACTTTTTTTAGGTCGGATTCGAGTCAGATTGTAATGATTTGGAGCACTTCTTTTTATTTTTACACTATTTCGAAAATCCAAGGACTCAATTGTATGGATATGTAAAATACATAATTTTCAATTTCATACTCGATTTCATGGGTACGTATCAAATTCCATGGAAAGCCATATTCGATGAAAGTTGTATGTACGGCTTGAAGGGAGATCTTTCTTTCATATATTCCATCAACACGCTAAAGTGTTCTCGTGTCATGGTGGGGAAAATTACCAAAAAAGTCCTAAACCTATTGCAATTGTGTCAATTCGCTTAAACCTTTTTTTTTGGCTAATTCAGTCCTAAACCTTTTGCAATTGTGTCAATTCAGTCCATCCGGCCACTTTTGCCCGGCCGGCGCTGATGTGGACGCCGGCCGGTGCCGGACGATTGACGTGGTAATATTTTAATTTTTTTAAATTTTTTTCCTTCTCTTTTATTTTTTTTTCTTTTCCTTCTTCCCCCTGGCCGGTCCGGCCCGGGGGAAGGCTCACCGGCGAGGTGACCTCGCTGGCCACTGGGAACTGGCGAGGGCAAGCCTCGCCCAGCTTCGATGAGGGCGAAGCTCGCCATGGTTGTGCGACGGCGAGGGCCAAGCTCGCCATGGTTGGGCGAGCTCGACCTCGCTCGAGTGCCGCGAGCTCGACCCTAGCTCGGGTGCCGCGAGCTCGAGCCTTGCTCAGGTCTGGCGAGGTCGAGCCTCGCCATGGCTGTGCAACTGCAAGGCTCGCCCTTGCTGGTACTGGCGAGGGCGGAGCTTGAAATTTTTTTTATTTTTTTCCTTTCTTTGTTTTCTTTTTTTGGCCTTTCCTTCTTCCCCTGGTGTGGTGGCCGGACCGGCCAGGGGCTAGTGCCAGCGAGGTCTTGCCGGCCATTGGGGAGGCTTGCCCTCGCCGGCACTGGCGAGGGCGGACTTCGCCATGGCCGGGTGAGCTCGACCTCGCCCGACCATGGCGAAGCTCGCCCTTCGCCGATGGGTGAGTCGAGTTCGCCCAACGCGGTGAGCAAAGCTCGCCCGGCCATGGCCGGCTTCGCCCTCGCTAGGCCTCGCGTAGCTGGGTGAGGCTCACCCTTGCCGGTGCCCCAATGGCCGATGAGACTCCCCTTGGCTGGACCGGCCAAGGGGAAGAAGGAAACGAAAAAAAACAAAAAAAGAGAAAGGAAAAAAATAAAAATTAAATTAAAATATTGCCACATCAGCCGACTGGCATCCATGTCAGCGCCGACTGGATAAAAGTGGCCGGATGGACTGAATTGACACAATTACAAAAGGTTTAAGACTGAATTGGCTAAAAAAAAAAATTTAGGACTGAATTGGCATAATTGCACTAGATTTAGGACTTTTTTGGTAATTTTCCTTGTCATGATATGTTGCTCCAAGAACATTTCCAATGACTATTGACCGCTATGGTTGCAATTCCTTGTACCGTTTGGAGAAAATAGTTCAAATGTGTAAATCAATCGAATGCGCATGCAATTTGTATTAGATTCAGAAAGACCTGAAAACACAACATTAGAGGAATCTCTTGTGACCACCCACGATCAGAAGTCATGATGAACTTTCCTCGATCAACAATTAGAAAATGCGACTACTCGCGATCTGGTGACTGAAACTACTAGTTCTAGAAGAACACAAAGATAATGTCCTCATCAGAAATCATACATGCATAGGTTAGACTGGGATTAATGATCATCTGTATCGCAACTTAATATGATGAACAAATATTGAGTGCCAAGAATACAAGGTAAACTAAGATGGGATCTGTGTGGAAGGCAGTGTCGTCTCTTTCATACTGAGAAGGAACAAAATGCATCAGTAAATTGAATTGCTTAAATTGACGAGGGCACTGCATGATTAGTTTATAACTTCACTCCATTGTCAAGGAATCTCTCTCTCTTGTCTAATAGCCTATTAAATTCTGCTTTCGGGAACTACACATATTTTCCTCTATACTTCGGCTTTGTTTCTTTACTAACTTTGGTGTCGCCCTCTGCAATGAATACCGACTCACCAGGGCTAAAAACCGCAGAATGAAGATTACCGTCTTCCAACCACTTTAGGTGGTTTTCCTTGAACTCCAGATGTTTAAGCCTAGCCGCTTCTTCGATTTCCTTGGTGTAAGGACTTCTCTTCACCATTGTGAGTAAAACCCGGCTATATCGTGAACTTAATATCTGTTCCGAAGCTGAAACCAATACAAAACATGGGTGCTCCGGGAAATGGTTTTCTGGGGACTCGTCTTCCCTCAATACGGGATAGAAGAACACTAGCCTGCCATTAAGTACGAGCATTTTAGCGGCGATGTCGAGCAAATCGTGCACACATTCTACCAAGCTGTAAGCTGCAGTCGACGGTATGTGATCTGTCCTCTTGTCATCGGGAACAGTGTAAGGGCCCACAACCCCCTTTAGTAATTTACGGCCACCAGACTTACGTCCTCCAGCACGAACTCCATAAGGAGGATCACAGATTATGGCATCAAATACCTACAAAATTAACATGAGAGAACGTTACCCGACAAAGGAGGAAAGCGAGATAGGAAAAATTAACCTTAGTTGTGCTTGAAGGAAACAAATAAAACTCAGTTGTGACTATTATTAGCGTCACTAACACAAATAACGAAATCCAGCTTGGATCCTCATCATGGCATTGATCTGCTGAAAAGTTCAGTAGCATTACCCTCCATCTCATCTTTAAAGTGGAAGATCCTAAGTAAAAACCAGGTTCCTGAAGGTACTACTGAACTTGATGGTACTCACAGAGGATGATGAATTACAATAAGATTCTCCTGATAAGAGCAAAGCCACCAAATCTTTTCACTTAATTACAAGAATGAAAAGGAAAGACCGCAGGCACTTACTTCTTTTAACCCAGGACGCCATGGAGGCAGGTTATTATCGGCCCTTAACAAACCAATTGGCATAGGCAATCCATACTGCAAGGAGGGAATAAGTGATATGTTAGGTTTGTGCCTCCTTGATGGTCATCCATGAACTTTGTTCACTTAGCCAAACGAGAAAGTTCTAAGTTCCTGTGCGCAGTTAATATTTTAGTTATTTAGACCCAGCTAGACATCACAAAGCAATTCAAATCACACTAACAAATGCTAAGGGTACCTGCTTAAAGTTACTCCAGACATTACAATCAGGTCCACGCCCATCACGCACTACCCTAATATCAATGTCTGCACCCTGAAAGTTTCATGTCAGTTAAAAGGCAAGAGAATGTTTCTCCATTCAACTAGCTCCTTGTCTACTTCAACGTGGAGAGAAGAGCACGAACCAAGGTCATTGCTCCAAAATGAGCTGCCGCAATAAGAATGCTTCCAGTACCAACAAAAGGATCATAAACAAGTTTCTCTGATTTTACCATTGCTTGATTGGCCATCAAGAAAGCCATTTCTGCATCCATGGCGGTAGGGCCAAGGTAGGTTCGACTTTTAAGCTGATATGTGGGCAAAAGCTTCCGGTCAGCACCACCAACTTCACGGCCAAAAAATATCCTCTTCTGAACCACTGGAGGGAGACCATTGTTGGCTCCATAATCATCTGTTTCCATGAGCCAGAACTTGTGAACTGGATTCCTTAGATTGACTCGTCCCTGCAACAATTTACACCAGCTTATACTTCCCACAGGGACCACAAACAGGTTATATTCTTTCAACGAGAAGCTGATTGAAAATAACTGGCAGATCATTAAGTATTTGAAAAGACAATTATATATGAGATTACCTCACAATCTTATCAACACGTCTGACAAGGAAAACTCACAAGCAAAAAGAGGTTTGTTGACCGGATGATTATCAGTTTCATTCAGTTATTACATGACAGGGTTAAAATGGAGAACAGGAGTCCAGTGTTTACTAACCCAAGTATGCTACATACTTTACCAATCTAAAGAATATTAAGAGTCCCACCATTCAGCAATAAAACATTCAAAAGTAAAAAATAAAAATTCCCCAATCTCAGTCATGAGTCCTCACTTGGATAATCACTGTCATCTATCACAATCAGCAACAACCTGAATAACCAAATAAACTCCCAGAGCTTGATTTTCTTAATACCAATTTCCTGCTTTTATCAGATCATTGACTACTTGCTCATCTACCAAAGTCTAAAATCAAGACTTCAAAGAAATAGATCCATGCATTTCGGACAATGAATAGGTAGTGGCCATATGATTTTTTAGGCACTGGCAGTTGAGTATTGCAGCCTGGCCTCACACTGTGAAAATGCCTTCTAGGGATATGGATAAAAGAAAAATCCACTCGGTCAGATTGGTATAAAGATCTGATTTATAGCTTGAAGATAATTAGAATTTCATTATGTGACTGAAGAGTACGTGTAAGTACCTTATCCATGCATTTGAGGGAGTTTATAATTTGGCTGAGATGCAGATTCCTTCTGACATTGACTAATTTTATAAAGCTTACCCAAAAGTAACATTATTGAACGTTTATGTATTTATTAACACCTTGACAATTTCTTTTCTGAAATTGAACAGCAACCAAAGCTTAGCAGAAGTAAACATCTACCACCTCTCAAAATCAGTAACCATGTTTAAAGGAAACTAGCATATCGCAGTTACAATAAGGACAAAAATTTTCCAGCTTTAACCGTCCACGGAGTATCATCGTTATTTTATACAGTAAGTCTGCATTGGTCCTTTAGGACAGTTGATCACATGCATGAGCTCCCAGGACCAAAGGCTCAAAATTCAAGGCCTTTGATGCACCATCCATATTCCCAATAATATCAACATATGGATTTGCACACACGAGAAATTCAACTTTCAAATCCACAATTTAGCATTTGAAGATCCTCAAGACATAAAACATGGTAACGCACCTTGAATGGGATGTATGCAAGACTTTGAATGCGTTCATTTTGCTCCTGAAAGCTAATGACCTTCCCAAAACTGTCAACCGTGATTCTGAATGTGCTTTCAGAAGTCAGATATGGTAGCTTACGCTCATCAGGGTAATTGTTTATAGCATCTTCTAGTTCTTTGTAGCTGTCTCCTTCTCCCCAGAGTTCATATATACCCTTGACAAGTATACCTACAATTATGCAAATCCAAGAAGACAAAGCTAAGTTTCTTGCCATGAACACAATTAAGTCGATAGATTGATGAGTTACTCAATAGAACCACTAAAGGAAGAAGATATGTTTATTAGAGCCACTGTTATAGCATTAACTGCAAGAAAGCGATATAAGAAGAATATATCAACAATACTAGTACTAACTGGTCTCTTCCAGGCTTCCAGCAGACAAAAGCTCATTTATTAATTCTATGGAAAAGAAATGGATTATTGTCCTAATGCTTGCTGGTGATGATGGCTATAAATCAGGTGGACAACGTACAATTAACATTGTGCGCTGCAGAGACTGGTTAACTATTAAGCAACAAAAGCTTTCTGTTTGTCGACAAGTTTAGTTCCATCTCCAGCATAATTTCATATCAAGTGATAAAACAAAGATGATCATCATGTTGATATTTAAGGCGTATGACGGAAAGATAAAAAATTGAATCAGCATCTTTTAAAGGAGGAGATAAAGTTCCAAAATTCATCATCTTTCACTTCAAGGTAAACTCCCACGGCAAGTATTTAACAGAAAGTTAGAAGTAAGAACCCCTATCTCATGATTCAAGCATGAAGTGGTTAATTAAACCTTAAAGATCATTCTGAAGCCATCTCATGTGCCTAGGTATGTCATATCTTTGTCTCTCATCTATTATGTCCAGGTACATCTTTCATCTTTCAATACATTGAACAAAAATGAACGATTCCATTTAACCGATGGCAGAAATGTTTTAGCAGATATGCCGTGACATGACATCTCTAAGCCCACAGGAAACTAGCCAACTATAGAGTCGACATTCCTTTTCTTATATCTAGATTTCACTATGATTCTGTACATTGGCGATGATTTTTCATTAAAATCTCAAAAAATGCCAGAGAGATGTTACCAACAGATACCATAATTAATCACCAATGGGTATCTGATGAGCACACTTGAGACATGATTGCTACCTCCAGATTTAACAAAAGATGCAAGGCTGCATCCACAACGCAATCATCCAACCCATCATTCCGACTCGTGCCTAACAAAGCCGTGCATTACGGCGTATGAATGCAGATAATCCTAGCAGAGCTACTGCTTCTGCAAATTATATAGGAGCCTTCACATCTCTATGCACGGAAACGAATTCACACCAGATGCCAAAAGAGCAGTCGGGTCGATCAAATGCAATGAATTAGATAACAGCTCCTCTAGGTCTTTACAGGTGAATATCAAAACAGAAGATTCACAGCTCCAACGATTGTCATTCCCAGCCCACTGGTTTTCACCCACGCGAACATCATGAAAGAGGGGAAAAAAAAAAAAACAAAACCCACTTCGATTGGCGACATCGCGAGCGACGTCCTCGGAAGGGAGGTTGACGAAGTGGAAAGGAGAGTCGGGATGGTGGTGCTCCGGCAGCCTCCACTCCAAGTGCTCCGCCCCGTCCTCCCGCCCGCCGTCGGAATCGAACGCACCGAACATCCGGGCGAGAGACTCGAACTCCGGTTTCCGGTAATCCAGCAACCGGTGGTAGAACACGCACAGGTACCACATTTCTCCCGCGCTCTTCCTTCTTCCCCCCCTTCGCCGATCGTTTCTCTGCTTCCAGGTGAGCTAAGCGGGAGCCAGCCTATACGCTCCGGCGGCGAAGCGGCGACGGCGAAGCTGCGGCGGCGGCGGTTGCGGCGGCGCTGGAGGAGGAGGAGGTGGTTGCGGAAGGGCAAGAAGGAGGAGGAGAAGAGGGACCGGCCGGAACTGAAAGTAGCTTCGCTTGGCAAAACCCAAAACCCTGGCGCACTCGAGGGACGTGAATAGCGACGGTCAAAATTCGACGGACAACTCTTTCCAAGAATTATACTTAGATCCCCATATTTTATAGATTATCGCAATTTGGTCCCCACAAATATTCCCAATTTTGGTATCGATTCCTGCTTTTCTGTTTTTTTTATTCTAAAGTTTTTTGCACCCAAGATCAAATTCTCGCCGAGACTTTAGTCACGGAATAAGAGTTGATTCGTGACTAGCGGGTGTCGGTTGAGAAGGGCAAATTTTATTCGCTTCGCACGTTCTCCATTAATAGTCGTTTATCGATTATTTGTGTCGATTCTCCTAAGCATAAAATGACTTCGATTCTTCGAAAATGTCATACGAGTGAGGATTTCAGAAGTCTCGCATTTAAGAAAAGTTGAAGTGTGTGTTGCAAGATTTAGATTAAACGAAAAGTCAAAGTCAATCTAGACATGTACATATGTTAAGAAAATTCAGATTTTATTAGGGGTGAGGGGTTTCAGGTTCTGTTTAGGTTCTACCTAGAACCTGAAACTTATAAAGTTGAGATAGGCTTCCCGAAACCTGAAACTCACTTTGCATATCAAAAAACTTGAAACCTACTCTGTCACAGGTTCCAATGTCTACTCAAGTTCCACATGTACTCTTAATTTGACGATTGTAGCAAATCATCACCTCTAATGACCACCATTCATTACAATCCACTAATCACAACTTATATTTAGACACACGAAGAATATAAAATATTAACAAAATACAAAAATCTCAATCATGGATATCGTCGGAAATGGAAGCTTACACTAGCGTTTTTAAATTACATACTCATCACTGGATGCCATGAAACGCCGCGGGATATAAAACGGGAAAACACAAAGGCTTGTTCATTGGAACCTAGAACCTGCCCTGTATACCTTAAAACCTGGATTCCACCGGGTCCAATTCTCAAGTTTCCGATTCTATCCTGAAATCATGCTCACGCCTAGATTTTATGTTCAATAAAAGTTAAAAGATTACGAGGAGGGTAAAGATTTAGAGGAAGAGAAAAGGTCAAAAGCAAATGTGAAATTTGGGCCACTAAAAACATTGAAAAAAAGAGACAAAAATGCAATGGCACCCAAAAAGGGGAACTTTTACAAACGGGGTGGGGGGGCCATGGAGAGAGGAGCGCATGCAGGGTAAGACTACCCTGCAGCTCCTTTTACCGGAGATTTCCTCGGCCGCGTCCCGAAATTGCCCTCGTCAGCCGGCCATTTGCATCTGATGCTGATTCCCTCCTTCCCTCCCCTCCCCTTTTACCTTTTCTAGGGTTTCTTCTTCTTCTTCTCCTTCGTCTTCGTCTCCGTCTCCGTCTTCTTCGTCTTCGCTGCTGCACGAGAGCGAGGTGAACCGAGCTTGACCGAGTCGCCTGATCGCCGCCCCCGCTCCGCTCTCCGTCTCGGTCCTCCGTAAGTCGGCCCCCCTCCCCTTTGCCGGATCCGCTTCTCGTTTCGCTCTTTCCTCGGGGCTCTCCTCGCGGGGGAGTTCCGCGCGGGTGTGATTGGTTCGGGTTTGAGTAGGTTTTGTTGTTGATGATCGCGTTGAGCTTTGGTGGAGCTTGATTACGGTTCGCGAAGCATATGTGCTGTGGAGGCTTGGGGACGTGAATGAATTCTTGATGTTTATCGGAATACCGAAGTAACCCGATGGGTTAAAATTTTGTCGCTCTTGTGAGAGCTCAGTTGCCGTGGACGAAACGGTTCGGGGTCTAAGAAATTTTCCCTTTCTCGGTCTGATATTCGACGGCAGTTAGTTCATGTTGGGAAATTCTCCTTCTTGGGCCAGGTAGCAAAGGAAAGGTGTTCAATTTGAGCTAATATGGAAGCGAGGATTGTCCTTAAATGGTCTTATCATAGGGCTGCCTGTCTTTATCCACCAGGAGTGGATCTTCTCTAGCTTTTTGTTGCTTGATAAATCTGTTAGCTGCGTCGATTTTGTGTGAAATAATCTGCTGATTGAATAAAAGAGTATATTAGTGTGTGGGTTTACTTGTTCGGTTGCTGTTGATTTCTCCTTGAATGGACTGAGATGTCGTAGTATGGATAGCTCCTAATGGAATGACAGACCATTCTCATTTTGAATGGACTTTTCAAGCTATCATTGGCATTTCACTCCATGTTGCCATGATGAAGAAAGTAGAACATCTTTTAAGGATGACTTTCTTAGGTGGTTAAAGGAAATTTATTAACAGATGTAACGTTACTGTTTGTAAAAGCAATTGTATGTGTGCATTGAAGAATTTCGTCAATAAATACTTGTGCAAACCTATGCCAAGTAGGCCCTGTGGCGTGATGGTAGTTTAAGAATCTTACCTCGAGAAGCTACTTGTTCTGGTTCTTTTCTCTATGTGCTATGGTTTTTTGGAGGTAAAAAGTTCTTTACAATGGTTAAATATTGTCCAAGCTTGTTGATTGCGCTTTGATGCACGAGCCCACATGGTCTGGTTTAAAAATCACTGACTAATGTACTTGAACTCGTGGATCGCTATAGTTCATTCAGTTATTCACTGTCCTTTATTCTACCTTATCTTCACGAGAATCTAAGTTTATTAATGCTCGACATTTACTTCATACTTGTGGGTGAGCTGATTTCTTCTCTATTTCTTGGGCAATTGCATTATACTTGCCATGCTTTTTCTCTACATTTTGGTAATACCATGCCTAACATCACTCATTAAATTTAGGTAGAAGATGTCAGAAGAGGTGGAGTTCCGCTGCTATATTGGTGGCCTTTCATGGTCAACATCTGATAGAGGTCTAAAAGATGCTTTTGAAAAGTTTGGCCATCTGCTTGAGGCGAAGGTACAATTTTTCGGCATCTATTGAATGTTTACGGTCTTTATCCATACGGTAACCATTAGACATATATGACTGCCTCCTAGCTTCTACAAATGTCTTTTATGGTGGTAGGGCATTTGATACTTCATGCTTTATAAGTTGCATGCCAAAGCAACAGGCCTTCTCTCTAACTGATATCAGGAAATTTAGATACTTTAATTCGTTTGCAAAATTATTTTAACCTACATCCAATTGGTACGATTGGTAACTACACGATAGTTTGATGTCATTAACCTTTGCAGCTAAATGAGGCTTGGCCGCATAGTTTTATCGTGGTGAATAAGTAGAAGATGCTTCAAACTTGCATAATCTATCTTAACAGGCAATCTTCGATTGTGTTTAAGTAATTGGTGCTCGTGTTATGTTGCTGTCGAACCCCATTCATGTTACGTTTTATAGATGTGAATATTATCATTTATGGGATGTGCTTGAACCAACATCCGAGTGATACAGGAGTGGGACAAATTGTTGGTAGGATCTTTAAACTTCTCGATCTACCACATTCTCAACCATACAGGTGGCTTGGATTGATAAGGCTACTATTTGTAGATCAAGCAATGTCTTCTTTCTTTCCAAGATGGTGCTTGCAATGACTTTACCTTTTCTCTGTCATCTTGACTCGAGTTTCATGTCATTAGTCAGCCTTGGCTTTATGATAATTACATGAACCCCAACATGCAAAAAGAATATAGCACTGTCTTTTGGAAACAAAGTGATTGTTCTTATAAGGATAAGTTTGGTCGAGATACCTTTTACCATGCTTTCAGCGGACATCTTAACTTGGTCCATGATGTTATTGATGTATATAATGAGTTGGGGTTTACTCACTTAAGGTGCAGTTCCTTGTCATCAGAAAAAAACAAAAGGCAAAAAGGTAAAGTAACAAGTAAAGCTGTTGGGGACTACCGTAAAAAGTTCTTTTTTTTTGAAATTGAACTGGTAACTTTAGGAGCTTTAGAGGCTAATAGTATTGCTTTTTCAATGGATCAGAGTTGATACCCTGTGTTCATTGGCTGAACTCACCAAGTTTTGTATTGGTGCTCTTATCTGCAAATTGTTTTTTTGTCATCTATTAAAAATATTGTAGACTCATTTTATAGATCAGTAGACAGAACAAATCTAGCGATGGAAATGTGTGGGGGAAGTTCTATTTTCCACTGTGATCTAGTGTGGGTCCCAATATTTGGTAATTTGATTGGTAAGGTCTAGTGCAGTGAGTATGGGCAATAACTGCTCTAGCATTATGGTTAGTTTGTATGTTTAGTATGTTAACTCTAGAAACCAAAGCTTTTCATTTTCTGGAACATGGGATGCTTCTTTGCTGCAATTTCATGAAATTATATTTGGTATCATTACTATCCTTGATATGATAATGTGGTGATGAGGAAAGCATGTTAATATCATATAGGCGTAATTGCAAAGACCATCCTCCATTTTGCTCTTCATTTCAAATACGCTCCTCACATTTCAAAGTCTACATTGTGCATCTCCTCAACCTAAAATGACCTATTTGCCCTTATGCACGCCTGAAATCTACACCTAGAAAGTGAAATCCAATGTTGAGGATGGGGTAATTTTGGGAAATGTGTGTGGGTGGGAGGTGCAACTTGAAATCCAATAAAAACAAAAAGTGAAAATGGTAGTTGTAGGTTTTGAATGTAAGAAGGGGGTGTTTGATATAAGGAGCAAAGTTGAGGATGATATTTGTAGTTTTCCCTTTCTTATGATACAAACTGACTCCGAGAAGAATATTTTTAATGCAGGTGGTGATGGACAAGTTCTCTGGACGCTCCCGTGGATTTGGTTTTGTAACTTTTGATGAGAAGCAAGCAATGGAAGAGGCTATTGAGGCTATGAATGGGATGGACTTGGATGGAAGAAATATTATTGTGGAAAAAGCTCAGCCTCAAGGTTCGGGTAGAGACCAAGATGGTGATCGCAGTCGTGATCGTGGTCGTGATCGTGGCCCTAATCGGGACTATGGTGGTGGCCGTGGAGGTGGAGGTGGAGAGTGCTTTAAGTGTGGCAAACCTGGGCATTTTGCAAGGGAGTGTCCTAGTGAAGGGGGCAGAGGAGGTAAGTATGGGGGGAGGGATGACAGGTATGGAGGAGGAGGAGGAGATGGTGGTGGGCGCTATGGTCCTGATCGAAATGGTGATCGATCTGGCGGGCGCAATAGGGATAGCGGTACCCGAGGAGGATCGGGAAATGACCGCTATAGTCGGGACCGTTCTGGTCCCTATGAACGTCGTAGTACAGGAAACTTCCGTTCGGGGTAGAAATAATACTCCGGATAGGTATGCTCTCAATCGTTTCCAGTCATAGTAAAGCAGTTGATCTGTGCTGATTGAAAAATATTTTGTGCTTGTAGAAAACAATTGGAGGTACTGCTGTTACTTGCTGGAGGTGTCAAAGTCTCTTCTGTCGCATCTCTTCGTGGTTGTCTGGGTGGACGAATCGGCTTGATCAGTCTTTGATGTGCGAACTATGGCTAAAGGATTCAACTGTTTAATGTCCGTGAACGCTCGTTTTGATGTTTTGGTCTGATGACATTGCTTGCTTGACTTCAACAATCAAATTTGGTCTTACTCTATCAATGCTATGATGGGTACTGGATTCTCTTTCGGTTACATGCTTTAGCACTTGCAAATCCATCTGAGATCCATCTTGGTTGACTTCTTCATTGGCATTTGCGACTGCGGAGTGCGGACAGCTTTTCAGTGTCTAGATGGCTCTTTTGAGGATAGGGCGAGAGATTCACCTGCGGAAGTAATGCCTTCTCTCTTTGCAAAAGAGAAGCTGCCTTTGAAATGAATGCCCATTTTGGCTACGATTTTTCAAATGTCTAACTTTTTGAAACGGAGTTAAACGGGTAAACTCTATGTTTTCTTATTCACATTTAGTATGTGAGCTTTCTATCTTTAGTTTGCACTATATTAACTCTGCTAAGCTTTTGGCAGGATTCTTGGCTGTTTGTGGTGTTTTGATACACGGTCCCATTACTTTCATGTCGTAGGACGTGGTTTTAGTCTTATAAATTCTGAAAAGTCCTTTTGGCCTCAAGAAGCTATTCCTATATGCAATTAACTCGGTAAAATTCCGTCTCACCTTCCACACACTGTACTGATGGAGGAGTTCCTTTCTCAGTAAAACGCGGAGATCTTTTGGAAGCTTTGGTGAGCATGGCAATTTGATTTGCATTGTCTTCTTCCTAGCAATCTCCTGTCTTGTATCACCATCTTCAGTGGAAGATTGCTGGTCTCTGTCTCCTCCGTGTGCATGGTGCTGCTATCTTGTTAGGTTTCCTGGATAAGTTTCCCCTTCAGGTGTAATGACGGCTCTCCCTTTGAAATGGCAATTTTGCTTGATACACACGGTTCTTTTTGCTTGGGCAGCTGTGCGTGCATCGACTTGCATTTCTGCATTAATGATCATTGCCGCACACTTTCAGCCGGCCATTTGTGATTGCTCATGTATTTTGCCCTAATTCTTTTAGAAGTTGTGCTTGCTCCAATCTGAGATTGGCTCTGGGTTTGTGACTCCTTGGGTTTACTCTTGGCATAAGCATAAACTGGACACGATCATCTCCTTTTCAGTGGGCAGTCTTTTTCTCTACAGTGACTTGTCAAAGTTTATTGTGCATTTTCAACAATGGCTCTGTAAATGAATATTTTCCTGCTATGTTAGAAAATTTGGAGATCAAATTTGCAATTTCATCATTGTGCTGAGCAGGAATTTCATCAAACTATTGGGAGATTTTCAAGTAGAGCTTGACGATACATTCTGTCAATTTTCTGTTATTCTATGTGACTTTCTTTACAGTTGGTTCTTTAGTCTCAGAGCTAGTCACATACATAACTTGATCCTCAGATGTCAAGGATCTTCTTAGATTTTGTTTGTTTGTTTGGTCGACCTAAAATAGATTCTTCATGATGTCAAAATCATTTCATAATTTTGTAAAAGAAAAAGCGGGGAGGTAAAATAGGAAACCCAAAGGACCGCAATGAGATAGTACGAGGATCTGAATCATCGGACTATGAAGTACAAGAATGTCATTGGAACACGGTGACCAAATCACCAAGAGTTATTATAACTATTTAAGAAAATTCAAGAAGTGGAATAAAATTACGTAGGGCTCAGCTGGGAGTGAAATGCCCGTGAGCTCATACGGAAGAGGTGACCATACTTGCAAGCATGTACCGCATCTTCATGCGGCGAAACTCCATCTTCATAAGCTCTATTATCTTCTGTCTCATCTTCTCCATTATCCTCCGATGCTTCCCCTGCTTCAGCCTCCACACAGCCCTAGTGCGTGCGGTAATCGTAGCCTGTGTGATAGTAGTGCCATCAATCCTCGGCGATGTTCCCCTGGCACACGTCGCTGATCAGGCTTTACTGTTGCATTAGGAATAATACAACGTGAAAGGGTGCTTAGGGTCCTCGCGCTTTGCCTTTGCCGCCAAGTCGGGACACTCCTGGTGGAGGTCATACTGGCAGATCAAGCAGTGGTAGGAGGATGTGTCCCCATCGTCCCCAAAGCTCGGTGACCTGGTGAAGTCCTGAGCCGGGGATTGGTGCTCAAGGCAGGACGGAAAGAGCGAGGAAGCATAGCTGGCGCGTGGGGGAACAATCCCCGGGGGAAGGATAGAGTCGTTAGCACAATGACCATGGAGGTCCAAGTCGCACGGGGCGCAAGCGTCAGAGAAGCCAGCGCCGGGGAGACGGTAGGTGCCCCGGAGGAAGGAGAGAGGGGTAGGTGGGGTAGGGCATTAGACCTTCTTATATCTCGGCCTTATTATGAATTGACTATGATTGTTGTCTCTGCACCCAAAGAGAAATAAAGAATGATTACTTCAAAATTATATGAAAATTAGCTTATCATCAAAAAGTCATTGCATCTAAATGCTTATATCTTGTGAATTAGCCAGCTGTCCAACTTCGACCAAAACAATATAATAAGGCCAAGAAATATGTGAACAGAATATTCTAAAACAGCAGTTAATCCATGACTGAACTTACGTACAAATCATTATTCCAAACAAAAACAAGCAAAAATCGCATTATAAAAAGAAATAGTAGCGTCACTTCAAAGGCTTAATTTTCAATATTTTCTAGCAGGTGAAATGCGATGCCTGCAAACTCTATAAAACACTCATAGTCAAAGATTCAGAACTCTATGAAATCAAGAATATTCTCATATTCCCATTTATATAATTTGGATACCGCTTCACATGCACAACAAAAGAGACTTGAGCTGAGAACACTTCGTTAGAAATCCTCATGGACCTTCCCTATAGAGGTCGAGCTTTATTAAGGTCATTCTCATGCTTAACTACCATCATTCTTCTCTTTTGTAGTGTCCTAGCTTCAGCAAAAACTAGGGGGGATGAGACCGATCGGCTCGCTTTGCATGAATTCAAGGCTAAAATAGCCGATCCCGATGGTGTTTTGAGCTTGTGGAACGATACTAGCCACTTTTGTGAGTGGTATGGTGTCACATGTGGTCGTAAACACCGAAGAGTCACCATATTGGTCCTACACTCCAAGCACCTCTCCGGGGTCGTCGCACCCCATATTGGTAATATGAGCTTTTTGAGGGAAGTCCATATGTAGAACAACAGTTTATGCTCCGAAATTCCCTCGCATTTCGGCAGCTTATTTCGATTGCAGAAGTTGTCCCTTCATAACAACTTGTTCAGCGGACATATCCCTTCGAATCTCTCTCGTTGCTCTAATTCGCTCTATCTTAACTTAGGCTTCAATACGCTTGAAGGAAATTTGCCTAGAGAACTAGGCTCCTTATCCAAGCTCCAAAAACTTATACTTCAAGCCAATAGCTTGATGGGAAACATTCCGCCGTCATTTGGAAACTTATCCTCTCTTCAAGTCTTCACAACAGTTTCAAACAACCTCGGTGGTATGATTCCAGAGACTCTAGGCCGGCTTAGAAATCTAAACATCCTCGTTCTTAGACTGAATAAATTTGTTGATGCGATTCCTATCTCAATCTTCAATATATCCACTGTGACAATCCTTAATGTGGCCAAAAACCAATTAGAGGGGTGCTTACCCAGTGACTTAGGCTTCACTCTTCCGAATCTCGAGAGAATCACATTGAGTGACAACCACCTCACTAGACCCATTCTTGAGTCAATATCCAACGTCTCTAATCTCAATCTATTCGATATCTTGTGGAACAACTTTATTGGGAAAGTTCCTTCTTTCTAAAAAATGAGAGGACTCCATTGGTTTAGTATTGGCCAAAACAACTTTGGAAGTGGACAATATGCTAATCTTGACTTCCTTTGCTCTTTAACCAATTCCACAAACTTGGAATTATTGGGTATAGAGAGCAATGCTTTTGGAAGATCAATACCCCACTGTATCGGCAACCTCTCTATCACCCTTTCGCAGTTTTGGTTAGGTCACATTCATATTTCTAGAAGCTTGCCTTCTAAAATTGGAAATCTCATCAATTTGGAGATACTACACGTGGGGGCAATAATATATCGGGAAACATTCCTTCCGAGATAGGAAATCTGAACAAACTGGAACTTATGGATCTCAGTCGAAATAAATTCTCGGGGCAGATACCAGAATCTATTGGGAATTTAAGGATGTTAATCCAATTGTCCTTGTATAGCAATAGTCTCCAAGGCTCGATACCACCGTCTCTAGGAAACTGCCAGAATCTACTTCTCTTGGACCTTTCGACCAACGATCTCAGCGGTAGCATATCCTCGGAAGTTGTTGGGCTCTCATCTTTGTCAATTTATCTCAACTTGTCTCAAAATAGTCTTACCGGCCCCCTTCTAGAAGAAGTTGGAAACTTGAAAAATCTCGGTGAATTACGTATTGACGGTAATGGATTATCTCAACAATTTCCGAGCAGTATCGACAGTTGTATATTCATGGAGCACTTATATGTATAGGATAACTTTTTTGAAGGGACCCGACCATCAACTATAAGTTCCATGAGAGGCCTTCAGGTTTTGAATGTTTCAAACAACCGATTGTCTGGCCAAATCCCAGAAATTCTAGAGTCATTGAATCTGATGAATTTGAGCTTATCTTACAACAATTTCGAGGGTGCATTGCCTACATGAGGAGTTTTTGGAAGTGCCATTTCAACTTCTGTTGTTGGAAACAATAAGCTTTGCGGGGGTCTAACGGATTTTCAACTACCGAAATGCAAAGACGAAGAGTCAAAACAGAGGAGAATAACCGGAACTGCCAAGGGATATCCACAGTCTCTGCTGTTGTAGGAGTAGCCTGCATTCTGTCTTTGTTATACTTCTTCTAGTTTAGGCGCAATAAGAAAGCATCGACTTCAAGCTCTTTTGAAGATGGGTTTTTGCATGTTTCTTATCACAATCTACTGAAAGCGACAGGTGGATTCTCCTCCATCAATCTACTTGGCGTGGGCAATTTTGGGTTTGTGTATAGAAGGTTTCTTGATCAGACTAGTTGATCGTGGCCATCAAAATTCTCGACCTTACATGTCACAGAGCTTCCAAAAACTTCTTAGCCGAGTGCGAGGCCTTGAGAAGAATCCGACACTGTAATCTCATGAAAGTACTCACTACATGTTCTGAGTTTGGTTTTAATGGAAATGATTTCAAGGCTCTGGTCTATGAATTCATGTCGAATGGGAGCTTGGATGAATGGTTACACCCAATGGCATTGCAATATTCAATGAGAAGCAAGTTGAGTCTACTTGGGAGAGTGAATATTGCCATTGATGTCGCTTGTGCACTAGATTATCTCCATCATCACTGTGAAACACCAATAGTTCATTATGATCTAAAGCCAAGCAATGTCCTTCTTGATGATGAAATGACTGTACATGTAGGCAATTCGGACTTGTCAGGTTCCTTCTAGAAGCAACGCAAAAGTTACTGATTGATCAATTGAGCTCTGCCGAGGTAAAAGGATCTTTTGGCTATGTAGCTCTAGGTATGTAGTAGTTAGGTCTTTCAATTATTTCCTTATATCGAACACACAATTGGAGACCGAACCTTGGACAAAACGGCATAAACATGAAAGATCACCAAGACTATATTTCAATCTCAATTATTCACTATGCATCGCTATGCTCTGTTGACTGTTGTAGAGTATGGCTCGGGAAGTGCAGTAGCCATAGAAGGAGATATGTATAGCTTTGGAATCCTTGTTTTGGAGATGTTCATAGGCAAGAGGCCGACTGATGACATGTTTGAAAATGGGTTGAACCTTCATCGCTTCGCCAAGGAAGCTTTGGCAGACCAAGTGGATAATGTAATCGATTCCATTCTGCTTCAGGAACACCAAGAGTCGGAGAAGAGATGAACCGTCGCTCCGGGTGGCAAGAACATTAGCTGGTTTCGTACTCTAGAGTGTTTGGTTTTGATCATCGAAATAGGAGTCACTTGCTCTTCTGAGTCTCCAAGGGAATGAATAGACATCATCAATGCATTGACTAAACTCCAAGGAATCAGGAAGAAGCTTCCTGAGTTCATTGTCATTGCCTAGTTGATGTAAAATCCGAACTTCATATGGAGTCATGTGGTCTTCATGGTCATTGCTTTGTCTGGAATAGGGTGTGGAATTTGGCTATTCACAAACGATTTGAATCTGGCAACAGCAAACCCACAAGCAAATGGAGACTAGTGACTTAGCAATCTAAGGAAGATCAAAATAGTTTATGTTGTCTTAAGCAAAAGATCACTGTCCTTCAGCTGTGTGAGAAAATAATATATTATTTCATATAATTTAAGTCTCACAAGAAATCTCGAACCGGTATCCCTGATTCAAATCTATTCTCCACGTTAGAACCCAACTTGCTAACGGGGTAGATTTGGGGTAAACGTGTTGTTGGGTACTGGTTTGAATTTTTTGTGAGACGAGAAGTAGTTTTGAGTAAATATATCAATGGACACCGATTTAAACATGGCAATTCATGACAATAACATAGTATATAATTGTTTGAACCAAAATTTGAATCCAATGCGAGCGAAACAATAATATGCACAAAGAACTGAGAAACTTGGTCAACCATCTCGCTCTCTCTATCTCACTCACTCATGAAGCTGGGGTTTACTAATACATATCACTGCATGCAGCTTCCCACACGCGTGAAGTGGTCGTGGAAATATACACAATTTGACAGCTAAATTGTCAAATTGTTTTATGTTCCTCGTATGCTTTAGTAAAATGATAAAACTACTCTTGGTCTCTGAATTCGAGCATTTTTTTTTCCAATCAATTAAACTTGTATAACTTTTCTAATCAAGTCCCTTCAGCTCCAAATCCAATCAATTGGAACTAACAAATCTTATTCCTGAGCTTTCGCATTTTCCCCTGTTCTATTTTGATTACCTACGTGCTCTTTCTATCCTCACTTTTTTCTCCCAAACATAGTATTAGGGTCAACCGTCTCTCTTTTGAAAGACATGCTGATAAGATTTTCAACAGGCGAAGGAATTTATTGAATTTTACTTATTTAAAGGGACTATCCATGTAATAGTCTCGCATGTGATTAATCTTTTTACTCTTCGTTATATAACAATAAGGTGTTTGGGGCAAAGCATTTGACTAATCCTTGTTGAGTATGGTGGTCCTTCTACCCCCACACACCGTGGGTAATTACCGGAGATATATAGGTCTGTGCTCCTTGATTGCCTCAAGGGAAATGTTCAAGGTGTGGTAATTTGAACTCAACTCATAAGTTACCACTTAAGCAACTATAAGGCTGTTTATTATCAACTATAATCAGTCTATTAAATAAGACATGAGAAAGTCCAAAATGGTTATGATAACATGTGAGACATATATGAGCACACCAACAAAATTTTAGCATATTTTTAATTAGTATTACTCTCATTGCTAATTTTATGATCTACGGGTGATTTGTACAAACTTATTTAATGTGTCACAGGAATCTAATCCAATATAGATTATATTTTTACTTATAGCCTCATGTTAGGAAAGTGTGCTACTTTTTATTAGTGTATAATTTGGTCTCGAGGAATTTGTCAAAACTCTGGCCAAGAAATGAGCCGGTACATATGAACACGGGGTAAAGCATTTGCATCTTTTATCTGAGTTAAAGCGTGCTACTTTTTGTTAGTATATAATTCGGTCTCGAGAAATCTGTCAGAACTTCGGCCAAGAAATGAGCCGGTGCCTGTGAACACGGATTAAAGCGTATGCATCTTTTATTTGGATTGATCCTATAATATTTAAATTGGTGAAGAACGAATATGTGTAGGTACCGAATTTAAAAAGGAGAAAATGAGGGAAAGACCATAAGCTATACTTGAGTCCTTTGTGCTGCGTTCATAGACAAGCTAGTGATCACTAATATAATGTGATTTGGTTGAGACAAATGTAATATGGTCGGACATGTGGGAACTTTGACAGGACAGGTGATGCTTTGGGTATAACGCGGTTTTTTTTGAAAAATTGTCCAAAATATCAATTTTTCTAAAAAATTGCAAAACGACGTCATTTCATTTAAGATTGTCCACGTCAACCGTTGCCCGTATCACATTAGGGCAGCCAATGGTTACTAGACCTCCATGTCTGCAATTTTTGATCCAAATGGTCGGATGGACTGCATTGGAAAATCACTAAAAGGTTTATGACTATATTATCATAATTAAAAAATTTAGGACTTAATTAACGGCCGTACAATAGGTTTAAGATTTTTTGTACAATTTTCCCCGCAATTTTTAGTAGCAGTCGCACTATTTCTCCCTCCAATAGAAAAATTATGCAAGGTAGAGGTTTTGTCCAGGGACGACCCGTCCAGACGGTTGACACGTCCCATTATAAAAAAATCATTTTCACCCGTTCGGCTAGCGACGTATAACTCGTTAGATCAGGTAAGGACACGTGGTGTGTGTCTAGTGATTAGCTGATTCTGGTATTATCACTTTTCATAATTGGGGACTTTTTTAATTCCTTGTTTTCAGAGGAAGTAAGAGCAAACGAAGGTTGGACAAATCCGCGTTCCTACTACTGTTCCATGTGGGAGCCGGCTTGGTAATGCACCGTCAGAACGAGAAGAAGAAGGACCGTTGACTTGACTTGGCCTGAGCTGCTGCACATCTTCGATTAACTATCATCTGCCGACTGCAACTTGTTGAGTTTTCTAATAGGTATAAGAGAAAATTTCAAATAAGGGTATGAAGTAAATTTTGTATTAAATAAAGGTTTGAAGTGGTCATGTTAGTCTCAAAGAAGGGTTTGACCTCACCAACTGTCAAGGGCATTTTCGTCTTTTAATTTTTTTGATTTTTTTTCCTTTTTTTCTTTCTTTTTTCCTTTTTCTGTTTTTTATAAAAAAAACTCACAAGAAAAAAAAAAGCTAAAACTTAAAATATGAAAACACACGCACATAGGCCCTCTGCCTGTAGGGCGGCGGCCATAGGCTAGCCCTCCTACCTTATCAAGATTCTTGACCTTACACGTCACGGAGCTTCCAAAAGCTTCATAGCCGAGTGCGTGGCTTTGAGAAGAATCCGACACCGTAATCTTGTCAAAATACTCACAGCATGTTCTGGGTTTGATTCTAATGGAAATGATTTCAAGGCACTAGTCTATGAATTCATGTCGAATGGGAGCTTAGATGAATGGTTGCACCCAACCGCATCGCAATATACAACAAGAAGCAAGTTGAGTCTACTTGAGAGAGTGAATATTGCAATAGACATTGCTTGTGCACTAAATTATCTCCATCATCACTGTGAAATGCCAATAGTTCATTGTGATCTAAAGTCAAGCAATGTCCTTCTTGACAATGAAATGACTGGACATGTTGGCGATTTTGGGCTTGCCTAGGTTCCTTCTAGAAGCAACGCATAAGTTACTGATCGATCAATCGAGCTCTATCGAGGTAAAAGGATCTTTTGGCTACATAACTCCAGGTAATGATGTAGTAGTTCGGTCTTTTAGTTTATTTCCTTATATCGAACATGCAATTGGAGACAAATCCTTGGACAAAAAGGCATAAACATGAAACATCACAAAGACTATATTTCAGTCTCAATTATTCACTATGCATCACTACGCTTTGTTGACTATTGTAGAGTACGGCTCGGGAAGTGCGATATTCACAAAAGGAGATGTGTACAGTTTCGGAGTCCTCGTTTTAGAGATGTTCATTGGCAAGAGGCCCACCCATGACATGTTTGAAAATGGGCTGAACCTTCATCGCTTTGCAAAGGCAGCTCTAGCAGGTCGAGTGGAAAAGGTAATTGATCCCGTTCTACTTCATGAACACCAGGAGTCGAAGAAGAGACAAACCGCCGCTCCCGATGGCAAGAACAAAAGCTGTTTTAGTACTCTTGAGTGTTTGGTTTCGATCATTGAAATAGGAGTTGCATGCTCTTCTGAGTCTCCAAGGGAACGAGTGGACATCGGCGATGCAGTGACTAAACTCGAAGGAATAAGGAAGAAACTTCTTGAGTTCATTGTCATTGCCTAGTTGATGTAAAATCTGAACTTCTTATGGAGCCATGTGGTCTTCATGGTCATTGTTGTATGGAATAGGATGTGGAATTTGGCCATTCACAAACAATTTGAACCTGGCGACCGCAGAACCACAAGTGATGGAGACTAGTGACTTAGCAATCCAAGGAAGATTAAAATAGTTTATGTTGTCTTAAGCAAAAGATCACTGTCCTTCAGCTTTGTGGGAAATAAATGTCCTTTGTTTTGCCTTAGCTCAAAAGATAGAAACTGTAACCTGTTTGAGAGTTGTACCAATAAAATGTAATAAAACGAAAAATCACAAAAGCCTGGCTCCTAATATAAGTACCTCCAGGCATCTAGTAATATGGACTTTTTGTCTTGCTCTCTTACAAACTTGGCCAATTTGTTTTGGTTTTTAAAACAAAACATAAAAATTACTAAATGACTTTCCTCTTAAAGTTAAATAATGTTTAAACTTAGGGTTAATAACATAAAAAATCCTAAACTGGTAAACCTGTGATAAATTAATCCCAAATTTATTTTTGAGTTATCAAAAATCCCAAACTGGTACATTTATGATAAATTTACCCAAAACTAATTTTTGGGTTACCAAAAACTCCAAATAGGTACATTCATGACATATTTTCTATCTGTTAGCTTCCGTCAAATTTTACCGTGAAATTGCTGAGCTGTATGACACATGGCAATAATTTAATTAAAGGGCAAGTCCACATGGAAATCTATATCAGTTTGGGGTCAATTTGTTTTGATGACTAAAAATTAGTTTGGGGTAAATTTATCACGGCGTATCGGTTTGGGGTTTTTGGAGACTTAAAATTTAGTTTGGGGTAATTGTCACAGGTATACCTGTT